GCATACGCTCAGGCGAATCTCACACTCCTTGTTCTTTCTTTGGCTGTGGCTCGTCCTCGTACGGCAGCTCTTCGGCATTGCGAACTGCCTCCAACTGTCGTGCAAGAGTCTGGGCCTCTTTCTTGCCATCGGCGTCCCGGTTGGCTTTGCGCTGCTGTCGCTCCAGGCGCTTCTTTTCCTTCAGAGCTGCATTCTCTGGGCTCTGTTCGAAGCTCATCAGGCCGCTTCTCAGGAATTCCCGCAGCGTGTCCTTCTCAGCACCGTGCTTGGTGAGGACGTTGGCGATGTTTTGGGCTCCATCCACCCAATGGGTGGAAGCGTTTGGCCTTCTAACCGTTTCCCTCAAGAGTGCCCCTTCAATCGCCATCCTCTTGTCATTAGAGGTACTGGTAGCGTCCTTCTCCAAGTAATCATAAACGCTGCGGGCGTCGGTGATGTAGGCACGTCGGCGCTTCTCCACGATCGCCGGCCAACTGCTGAGGTCCAGGTCACCTGTAAGGGCCTCCTCCAAAAGGACTATGATCCAGTCCCCGGCCTCCACTGCTTCGGCCAGGTGGCTTGCTTCAGCTGCAAGCGTGCTTCTGCAAACCCTCTTTGTCAAACTGCTGTGGAAGGCCAGGATGTTGGCTCGGGCCTCTCCGCCTTCTTCGAGGATCTCCTTGTTGGCCACGAGGATGAAATATCCACCAACAGACTTGTACTTCATCTCCTCCTTGTGGTCTGGCGTGCCGTTGGCGTGCCCACTGTCCGCCAAGTGCAGTATGACTCCCGTCTCCAGGTCCACATCGGACCAGAAGCGCTGCTTGAAGTCGGCCCCTCGTCGGGCCAAACCCACAAACTGCTTCAGCAACACGAGGTCCGCAACGCAGGTCCCGGTCTTGCTTCTTTGGGCCACTCCGTTCTCGTAGGCCAAGTCGCACCTGAGCTGGCGTGCCAACCAACCTAGCTCACCCGCGCTGCTTTGGAACGTGTTCTGCTCCTCCTCGGTGAGCTCCTCCTTCAGCTGCTTCCGCCGTGCTTGGTCGATCTTGACCGTCCGCATGCTCAGGGCGTAGTTCCGCATGGCCACATCGATGTGCCCATTCTCGTGCTGCCTTATCTCCCGGCCCCTGAAAATAAAATCCCTCACGTGGTTCGTGGCGAACTCCAGGGCCTGGGAGGACTTGGCAAAGGCTTGGTCCATGATGCTGTGGTGGACCCCGCCTTCAATATCGTCCACGTGGGTAACCAGTATCCCACGCAACTTTCCTTCCAGCCTCAGGTAGAAAAGGGCTGGTTCAAGTCTGCTCTCTTTCCAGCCGTCGCTCTCTAAGTGCTCTTTGAGCGCTAGCCAGAAAAGCCTCGCTGCCTCAGCAAAGCCATAAATGGCCTTCTTGGCTTTGAGTAGCCTCCCTGGCTCCAATCCAGGCAAGCCTCCCTTGGGAGGCTCCAAGTAAATCTCTCGCCCAACACTTTTGCCCGAAAAGTAGGCATTCTTGATGTCCTTGGCGATCAGGATAAACTTGTAGTAAGCGCAAACCGCCAGGCATATGCTCTCTGCCACGGCTGAGGCTGTTGGCGCGTCCCTCCGGTAGTACCCGAGAGACTTGTCCTTGAAGCCTTGGACCACCAGCCTGCTCTTTGCCAAGAAGCCCTTGTCGACGAGGCCGTCGTTCTTGTTGGTTCGCACCCACCGCGTTGGCACGATAAGTTCGGGCTTCTCCTTCCGAACTCGTCGGCTTTCGGCCGCCGACAAAATCTCGCAAGCCTCTTTCATTTTCCAAGCACTCCACTCCTTCTCGTCGGAGCCGCCCTGCCCACGAAGAGCTGCCGGTGCTCATCTGAAATCTCACTCAACTTCAGCTCTTTCCGGCCTTTCTTCTTTACACCGCCATTGGTGTTGCCGCCGTCGGTGCTCGCAAGGGCCTCGTACTTGTCCTGGAAAACGTTCCTCCGGACACCGAACATGAACTCACTCACGTTGACGCCGCTGGTGAGGTAGGCTGCTTCGTGCTTGTAGTAGCGGTCGAGGGCCTTGTGGCTCAGGTAGCTGGGGCTGGTTGCCGCCATGTAGGCATCGCACCCTTCACTGGCAAAGTTTGCACGTTCCCCCGGTTCGATGGCCCGCTGGCGTTTGGCTTCTCGTTCGATAGCCTCGCCCTCGGTCTCCTCCATCATAGGAGAAAGCTGCCGCCTTAACGGGGTGTGATAGTCATCCCCCTCCGGGTCCCAATCGATCTCAGACATGAGGTCGGGGTCGAGGTCGTCTGCTGCAGCCACCGGCGTCTCGGCCGCTGTCGGACGCGCTGGCTCCTGTGTCGAACTAAACTCGCGGCCGCGAGGCGTCTTTCCTTCCTCCT